GTAAATTCTTATTTTGAAAGAATACTATTTCTTGTCAAGCTGATAATCATATCTATCTAACTTGAATGACTACATTGGCACAAAAAGACCCTGACACCCTTTAAAAATTGTTTCTAGTCTCTTCCATTTTAAATATCACACAATAGGCTTTAATAAAATTAATATATCACCAAATTACTTTCTTTGTGGAACAAAGACAAGCACTTTAAAGCTTATAAAGTGACTAATTCTTAATGTTGTCAAATTAAGTTAAGCAATTTTATGCAATTACTAAATGTACCGACTTCTTAAAAAATTGTGCAATTAAAGAAACTGTTTTACTGTCATTTACAATGTACATAAATAACTTGGTTTAAGCAAATTGTTTGGTCAGGCTGGCATTTTTTTTCCAGAATTCTTGTAGACATTCTTGATGTTAAAGTTAAATCAAAGTTTTTGTTTATAGTTTCCATTTATCCAAATTGAACAATAGCATTTGCTATTATTTAATTGGATCTCTTCCTAGCTGTGATTTTGAGTTCACGTTGATAAGGAACTATAGATTCTTTATACCACTGTCAGTGTTTAGCACAGTACTCACTATAGGCAAAATTACATTGATCTGAGCTGGGCAGCTTTCAGATTTGCCTACTGCCTGGATAAGCCCTATAATACACTTTTAAGTGAAAAATCTAGTCATGGTATCAATCTTCCAAACTTGTTAGGAAGGTAAGGAGATGATAGTTGGTCTTAGACTATTACTTTCTGCCTAGGAAGGGAGGACATTAAAGATACAATGTCCTTCCAATCTTAAAGTGAATGGACAGATAATGAACAAGAAAAACACAAGTAATACGATCTGCTGACATAATATGAGTAATCATTTTAAACTATGTAACTACTTTTTCCATCAATAAATTGAAATTATTAATTCACCATTTGAATTTCATGTATTTTCTTTTTAAGTTCAGTGACATTTATTTGTTCAATTTTTCATTTATGAGCCACAAAGAAAGAAAGAAAGCTTATACTTGCTCTCAAATGCCTATAAAATCTGGTGTTGGGCCAGTGCTGGAGTCAGGGATGCAATCCAGGCCTCCCATGTGAGTCACAGGAATCCAATCACTTGAGCGATCACCACTGCTTCCCAGGGTCTGCATTAGCAGGAAACTGGAATTAGGAGCCAGAGCCAAGACCCAAACTCAGGTATAATGATGTGGGACATGAGCACTGTATTTAAAGCCCAATACTTAGTGTATTTTCTATCGTTTCTTTTTATTTTTTTAACCCTATAGCCTATGGTTGTCTCTTAATAATCTATTGATCTTGCACCTCTTACCACCTCCCTCACTCAATTACTATTTATCATATCAGGCACAAGGTTTAACTAGTATATTGATTTAACAGTGAACAAAACAGACAAGAAATCTTAAAATCTACAGCTACTAGAGATTGCCAACATCACACATATAATATTTAAATAATGACTTCATTAATGTTAAGTGCCAAGATACTATGAAAACCTGTATTGAGGATCTTATCAAGTCAGAGAAATTACTGAAGTTTTCTCTGAGAAAGGAACCCCTAATCTCCATGCTTACAGATAAGCAGTCCTTAACCAAAGAAAGAAAGGAGCAAGAGTAACCCACACAAGAGAAAAATGCAAATGCCTTCTGGTGGAAGGGAACATGTTAAACATGAAGAACTAAAAACAGAAAAACAATCCTGCGTATGTCTGAACTGAAAGAGACTGCATAATGTAGAACAAAACTGGAGAAGGTGAGGGCTTCATCTTACAGAGTTCTGTAGGCTGGGAAGCCATGAAAGGGTTGGAAGCAATGTGCTGATATGATTGGCTTTGCATTTTAAGGAGATGACTGCATTAAAAGGAGGTCAGGGCTGTGTGAATTAGGAGGCTATTTTAGTAGTTCAAGAAAGAGATAACCAATAGGTAAATCAGAGTACAAACTACAGTAGAGAGAAGGTAGATAAGATTTTAGAAGTATTTACATAAGATGAAAAAAATTGGGTGATAGATTGAATATAGAAAGTGCACTAGTTATCTATTGCTATGTAAAAAATTACTCTCAAACTTTATGGTTAACACTAAGTATTTATCAAATAATACCTGTGGGGTCAGGAATCAGGGCACACTTTAGATTGACTATGAGTCAATTCTATGTTAGAAGGTTGTAAAAATAAGGTGCTGACCAGGGATATATTCACCTCAAGGCTTGACTCGAGAAAGATTTACTCCCAAGCCAACTCATGTGGCTCCTGGCAGGCTTTATGTCCTCAACCAACTACCAGCTGCAGACATCAGTTCTGGGCCAACTGGGCCTTTTAATGGAGATATTCACAGGAAAGCAGTTAACTTCCCTCAGAGTAAAGGCTGAGAGAGAAAGGAAAAGACAAGGGGCATTACGATAGGGGTTGGGGCTGGCAGAGGAGAGAGAGAGAGAGAGAAAATAAGAAGGAAATCACAGTCTTTTGTAATCTAATCTTGGAAATGTACCACAGTTTTGTCATATTATTCATTAGAGGTGAGTTACTGGGTGCAGTCGACACACAGAGGCAGAGAATATTACACAAAAGAGCACACAAATCAGTACATGGAGATCATGAAGACCATTTTAGAGGCTGCCTACCACAGGGAACATGGGAACAGGCAGTTTTGTGACATCCATCAATGAGAGCAAGAAAGATGTATACAATCCAGGTTTGGAGATGAGGCTTTGTATTGGGCATGGTGAGTTTGAAAGAATGTCTTTTGTCCAATGAGCAAATATGCATTTATAAAACACCTACTGTTAGTAAAATGGTACCAGCTTCCTAAGCCCCGCCTGGCTTACTAGAGTCAGATAACCAAATGGCCCAATCACAAGTGTCAGCTCCACCCTCACCCTAACAGGATTTGCTGCTCTCACTTCCTTACCTCTGCAAAGCTAGCTAAGAACTTTTCTCCTGATACAGGCTGTTGTTCTCCCATGCCTAGGGAGGCAGGATGTCAGGTTTCTGCCACCCGAAAATAAATATCCCTTTCTCCGGTGTTTGGTGTGTTTTGTGGGATGGGATATAATGAGGAACACAGAAACATCCTTGCCCTCATGGAATTTACCTTTTAATAGTTGGAAAATAGATGATAATTATTAATTAAGATAAGCATGTGCCTCCCTTGCAGCATTTATCAAAATCTGCTTTTGTATTATGGTGTAAATGAACTGTTGGGATAAGCCACAAGACATCCACATCTATTCCCTGGAACATGTAAATATGTTTACTTATTTGGACAAGGGTCTTTAAAGATACTGAATCCAGGATCTTGAAATAAAACAGTTACTTTTGCGCAAGTGGGCCTTACATGCCATCACAAGTCTCCTAATCAGATACACACAGAGAAGACACACAGTAAATAGGATGAGGCAGTGTGACCATGAGGGTAGAGATTGGAGAGATGCAGTCACAAGTCAAGCAATGCCAACAGCCAATAAAAGCTCTAAAAGCCAAACAATAGCTTCTCCTCTAATGCTTCCAGGGTGAATTCAGTCCTACTGATCCTTGATATTGGACCTCTGGCCCCCCAAAATAGGAAAGACTTAAAGTTCTGTTGTTTTAAGCCTCTCAGATTGTGGGAATCTACTACAGCAGCCATGGGAAACTAACATACTCTTGCAATGTGATTTCTTATCATTGTAATCAAAGCACTTATCAAAGGCTGTAATTATATGCTTGTTCATTTTTTTTGTCATTGCATTAATATCGAGGGTCCATGAAGGTGGAATTATTCACTGTACACTCAGCCTCTTAGCATAGTATCTGAAACATAGTGTGTCTGTACAAACTATTGGTCAAATGAGTGAATGGGTAAATGTCTTCCATAGATAAAAAAAAAATCTTACAAGGCAAAGCCCATGCCTTTTGGTTCTAATCCCCACAGAGTCCTGCAAAAAAAACAAAAATTGTTGAACTAGGTTTCAGTTCTGAAAATCAGACAGTATAGAATTTACACATTGTAAGGCAATGGCCTTGCTTTTATCTATTATTAAAAATTAACGTATTTATGTGAGTTTGTATCTTATCCGCTTTTCTTGGCTCTCATAAGGAGCAGGTCCAAGTACCATTCATTTCTACACCCCTTACATAATCCACAGTTTGGCTTATGGTGCGGACAAAAAAAAAAATCTCTGGAGCATTTGGGTGAAGTGGAATCCAAGAAGCTTTAGACTCAGGCATAATGGAAACCAGCGTTACCATGCAGTATATTCCAAATCAAGACTAAAACTTCCCTCACTGGGTTGTGAACCTATTTATCACTTGGCCTTGAGCAGAGACTCCATGAGTGAAGTCTGATTATTATTAACCCTCTTGCCCTAAAGCAGCCACGAGAATAGCATCAGACAAGAGTTCCCCAACCAATGCCACTACTTATTAGCCATAAGACCTTGGGTAAGTTACTTAACCTTTCTGAGCCACAGTTGCTTGGCCAATATTTTCTATGTGAGAACGGTTCTGACCTAAAAATGGAATGAAGTAACTATTACTTTCACAAAAAAACCTTGGCTTCTGAAAGTGTGCCGTGATCTTGAGTAAATGCTCACACCTCCTAGAGCCTTCTGAAACTAGGATTCAGTGGACCCTACTATGTCCTTAATGAACCAAGTTTGCCAACCTTTGAACCAAAGCCCGCACGAGGGTTCACAATTCCATGACTATATCCTTCAGCAGCCTGTTATCAGATTTACCTAAGGGAAGGTCAAGCCGACGTGCCAGGTACTCAAGAAGAGTCTAGCTCCCCGGTAGCTCTTAAATGAACGCTAAGGTGAGACTTTTTAGTCAGACACAGCTCGCCAACGAGAGCCCAGGTCGCCGCGTAAGCGGTCCGGCATTTCTCGAAGCGTCTCTCGGTTGCCTGGGCAACGCTACGTCACGGCGCGCCCGTCAGCGAGAAGTCCAGACAGCGCAACGCGCAGGCGCATCCTGGAAGCCAATGGGCGCGGCCGGAATGTAGGCGCCGCTCGGCCCCGCCCTCCTCCGATTGGACTCCGAGGCCTGGTGGTGGCGAGGGGGCGGTTTTCCGCGGCTCGGCGCCGGGAGCTCCGTCACGTAGGTTGCGCACGCTCACGCCGCAGGGACGGCCCAGACCCCGCGCAGGCTGCTGCGCCCTCTTCAGACGTCTGGACACCGAAGCGGGGGCCGAGATGATGCGGGTCGGGCGCCCTATTTGGAGCTGACCAGAAGCCAGAGAGGCTGAGAAGAACCTGACGGAGGCCGGGCCGAGCACGAAGGCCTTCCCGCCCATCGGGTTGCTGGGTTCCCGCCGCCGTCCAATTTCAGGCGGTCAGGGTCACGCCAGTCGCTGGAAGCCCTGAACTCTGTGTCCCCCCCCCAAGTCCCAGGCCCCCTACAGGAATGTTCAAAAATGAGTATCAGGTAACCCAAAACGGCTCTCCGACGTGTCTGTAGCTTTCGCCTTTCTCCTCCTGGGTGAGGTTAGTTGGTGATACCCGCTCCTCACGCCCACTCTCCCCCGATTCACAAGTCCTTTTTCAGCGCCAAGAGTTGGTGGGTGAGTGGCCTTGACTCAAAAAATGAAAGGAAAAAAAAATCCTAAGACTCAATGCCTAAGCAAGTGGTTTGGCTTTTGTTCCCTCTCCAGCTCAGTGCATCTCAAGCTGTGTGAATTGTCCGATTCTGATTAAAATTCAGACAAACTCCACCCAGGCCTGAGTCAGAACCTGGAGTGCGGGGCCCTGAACCAAAGCCTGTGGTGCTCCTTGATGCACACTGGACTCAGAAGCCATTTAGAAGAGTGAATGAGTGTGTTCATGAATGGGTTAAACCAAGAACACAAACACTCAGCCTACCTGCTGTTTTCTTTTTCTAAAACTGGCAGGAGGGGGTCAGTGACTGTCAGATACTGGGGTACATCTGCGACACTGGGGTACTTGTAAAATGCTAGAGTTCCCCTTTACCCCATTCCTAGTGAATGAGGGGCTCTGTAGAGGGGTTAGTTCATTTATCTTTGTAACATATTCCCCCAAGTGATTCTGATGCATGTAGTATAAGGCTGTTTGATCATCCATCAAGAAAAAACCTGTGTCTGAACGCACGGTCTGCTTTCCTCCCTCCGCTGGGCATCTCCATTAGCCTTTGTCTTCCTTCCTCCCCACCTCACTGTCCCTGAAGTCACCCCTGCCCTGTTTACCATCCCGGCTCTGCCTGCTTTGAGGATGCACTTTGCCCCCTCTGCCTGAAGAGCCCTCCCCTGGTCTCCATCTCTTTGTTGCTTTTACCCCTGTGGCCAAACTCCTCTTGTCCTCAGTGTATTCTGCCATTCTCTTTCTTCTGCCCCACTTGAGATACCATGAAATGGGATACAACAGTTTTAGGGAGTTGTTCTCAATTCAGGTATGGGAAGTCTGTTATTAAAAAAGCCTGTGCCCATTGCAGGAAACTTGGAAACATTGGAAGGCAAAAAGAAGTGGAAAGAGTTTGCTGTTTTACCAAATGTACAAATTTTCTCTCTAAAAAAAAAAAAGCTGCTTCAAATTTAAGATGTATAGTGCAATATGACCTGCCCTGAGAAGCTGTAGTAATTCTATCCTTTGTACAGTTTGAATATAATACTGCCTAAGGAAGAACAAAGTAGGTGTTTTAACTTCACGTGATTATGTGTTGAAACCCAGGAGCAAAAATATCTTTCTGTTATTGAGAATTAAAAGCTGGAAATTCTTTGTGAAAATTAGACAGATTTTCTCATGTGCTGCCTACAAGTCAAACCATATTTAGTCTTCGTTTTAGGTCCTCAGTTGTTGCAATAAGTCCTTTGCCTCAGTGATAATCGCCTTGTTTAACTTCACTTTTTTATAAATTCCTTAAAGCTTAATAATTCAGTAATATTATAATGTTTTTATATGTGCCTTCATGTTTTCAGGTTTATTATGGGAACAAGTAGTCTGCCTTTCTACAGATTGTATTTTTCTTGTGCAGATTTTTATAGTTAACTTGTACTAAACATATAAAAATCTTGTAGGAATGTTCAACGTAAGAATGCCCCAACATCTTCCCAGGCCTTTTTATTGTCTGGTTGTAAACTGTTTCCTATTATTTGGAATAATCTTTGCTAACACAATTGAACCCTTGGCTGTTTGCCAAGTATTGTGCTGAATGTGTTTTGTTCATTGCCTTTTGCGGTGCAAGAAAATCCATTTTTTCAGATGAGGAATCAAAAAGTTCAGTAACTCCAAGATCAGATATTTAAAATGTCAGTGTTGGAGCTCTGGTCAGTCCAACTAGAAATCTTGTATTCAGAAATAATTATCAGAATTTTTTTGCCTGGTTTTGAGAATTGAGTTTAAAAACTTTTATTCTAGGTCTCATGTCAGGATAATCTACACATGTTAAGTAAGTGAATTCCACACGTAAAGTTTGTCTGACACCTTAAATGTTTATCATACTTGAAAGATAACTTCCTTGAACCATTAATCCAAGGTGACTCAAATCATAATGGTTGCAGCTTAGATACAATCAAGGTATAAAGTAGGAATAATAACAGGGATAATGTTTCCTCCCAGATCTGCCTAACTGACAGATGCCTGGAACATTGGTTGTGAATATGTGGTGCATACCCTTTCTCCCTTAGCATTGTCTTTCACTGCTTTAAATATTTTGTGTTTCTTTTCTAGGGAGGTGCATTTGTTGAAATCTTTAGTGCACAGGGCAAAAATCCTGGAGCTAAATGGAAGATCCTTGGCAGTCCATCTGTGATTTGGAAAGTAAGTGTTAGAAATTAGAGACACATTAATCCTGGAAATGAATATGAGTGAAGGTTTTAGGGGAAAAAAAAGGCCTTGATCTGATTTCAGAACTGTTTTTTTCCTGTTCTGTCATTCCAAAACCCTTAGATGACATTGTTGGCTGCTGTGCTTCCGGACACCATTCCTCACTTTAAGACTTTGACTCACAACTCGTTACCTTTCTCTGTACTCCCTGTCCTGCTTCTTATTTTTAGAGGACTTTTGGATCTGTGATGATATCTCTTCCAGCCCTGGACTTCTCGGTTTCTTGATTTTTTTTTTTCTTTAATGACCTCTTTCACTCTGCTTCAGGTCCTACTGTCACACTCTGGACCTTATCACCACCAGTTGCAGGACCTCTGAAATACTAAGTGAGACACTGAGACATCCCTCTCTGACCTCAATCTTTGATTCTTAAGGTTACTTGCTCAGTTATTCCCACTGTGTTTGTTCTTTGATTTTTTGGGACCCTTAGCCCATTGGCCATTCTGGTTTTCCTCTTGAATTTTCTTTCATTCATTTATTTATTTTCTCTTTCTCTACTTCCTTTACTTTTTCTTATAATGTTTTCTTTTTTTAAGATTTATTTTATTTTTTTGAAAGACAGAGTTACAGAGAGAGGTAAAGTCAGAGTGAGAGGTCTTCCATCCGCTGGTTCACTCCCCAGATGGCCTCAATGGCTGGAGCTGCGCCGATCCAAAGCCAGGAGCCAGGAGCCTCCTCTGGGTCTCCCACGCGGTGCAGGGGCCCAAAGACTAGGGCCATCTTCTAGTGCTTTCCCAGGCCATAGCAGAGAGCTGGATTGGAAGAGGGGCAGCCGGGCCTAGAACCGGCACCCATATGGAATGCCGGTGCCTCAGGCCAGCGCTTAACCCGCTGCACCACAGTGCCAGCCCCTCTTTACTTCCTTTTCTTTCCAGCCTAGTATCCCAAGTCCATAGTTCCAGTCACTTTCTGATTGAGACCTTTGTATGCCTTTGTTCCTTGTCCTTTCATCATGCCCACCTAACAAATTCCAACTGAAGAAAAGCCCAGCCTGCATCTGTTTTCCTCAGTACATTTGAAGAACGTGTCTGCCATGTTTCATAATGACAATATCATAATCCAATATGAGTGGCCCAGGAAATTCTCCTGCGGTCATCTCTCAGCCATAATTTCTCCATTATCTTCAGGTTATCAACTACCAAAATCCCTACCCCAGCCACAACCCACTACTAGGACAAACCCACTTTACTGTCTAAACAATGTCATTCCTATTTCACACGGAAAACAGGAGCCATCTGGTATCAACTAACCATCTGGTATCAACTAGTGGCTTGCTGCCACTAGGTCTAAAAACTTCTATCCATCCCTATCATTTTGTGTTTCTCTTCTCTTATAATCAAGAGATACCTGCCGGTGCGGCGGCTCAATATACTAATCCTCCACTTTGCGGCGCCGGCACACCAGGTTCTAGTTCCAGTCGGGGCACCGGATTCTGTCCCGGTTGCCCCTCTTCCAGGCCAGCTCTCTGCTGTGGCCCGGAAGTGCAGTGGAGGATGGCCCAAGTGCTTGGGCCCTGCACCCCATGGGAGACCAGGAGAAGCACCTGGCTCCTGCCTTCAGATCAGCGCGGTGCGCCGGCTGCAGTGCGCCGGCTGCGGTGGCCATTGGAGGGTGAACCAACGGCAAAGGAAGACCTTTCTCTCTGTCTCTCTCTCTCTCACTGTCCACTCTGCCTGTTAAAAAAAAAAAAAAAAGATACCTGTGTTGAGACCTTTTGAAGCAATCATTAATTGCTTACTGTTTGCCAAGCCTGGCAGTAAGCACTTTACATATGCTGTGTAATCTTAACAGTAACCTTAAGAGATAGGTAATTGTTTAGCCATATTATTGATGTGAGAACAAATGCATGAAGGTAAACCCAAATTTACAGTGATTGTGTCTGTGAAAGAGAAAAATGGTACCATGAGAGGATACAGCCAGTGAATCAGGAAAGGTTTCCTCTGAGAAATGAGTTCTGAGAGCTTAAGAGACACAGAAGGGCTATTGGAGAGGAGTGTGTTGAATGCAAGGGGAAAAGCATGTACAAAGTTCTTGTGTCAAGAGACAACTTAGAATTTTCAAGAAACTGAAAGGAGGCAGTTGAAGCCAAGATGCAGAGAGTGAGGGAAAATGCAAGATAGGATGTGAGGTTTATAAAACTGGATAGGGACCATATCATGGATGTGGACCGTAACACGCAAGGGTATAGGACCATGTGGAAATTTTGGTACATTACTGAAAGGTTTTGAGTGTCTACCTACCTTGTGCATCAATGTAATAAATGCTATAGTTGCTGCATATGTGTTCATTTCAAATACGTGGAGATGCTCTTGTGGTGGACATAACAGAAATTTGCTTAAGTGTTCCTTAATTAGTTACCGTGCATTTCTGAACATTGCATAAAAAGAATGCAAGTGTACATTGAAGAGTGGGAGGCTTTGTGAAAAATTTTAATGTGATAATATGCTCAGAAATTGGGAATGTGCTCCAGGATTAAAAAAGAACCATTCACATTAGCACTTTGACTGTTGGAAATTGGACTTATATATAGCTAGTTTTTTATTTCTAGGTTTGTTTTGTTTTGTTTTCTTCTACTCCTGCTTTATTTTTTAGGTATCATTGATTATAACATTTCTTAACTGATTTTATCTAAATGTTATATAGAATTTCATAGTTAAAGCAGGGGTCAAGTAATGCAATGATTAATTGTATACCAGCCAGAACCTGAAACAAAGGGCCTTCTAGACTGTTATACTGTAGGTTAGATTTTTTTTTTTTTTTTACTATGACAGAGAGTGATGTAGAACCTTGTGCTGTTAGACAGAAATGCATATAAATAAGAATAGGAACTCTAAGTAAACTCTACGGCCCTCAGATTAGTAATTTGGGAAACACTCTGAAGTTGGTAAACTTTTTATCACATGGATGAAAAGTGTCTGAGCATCTGTCAAAGCCTTGGTGAGGCTTCTGTGTTTTGATTCATGCCAAGTCTCAGGTTAAGAGTATCATCAAGCTGTAGGCCTACTATTAAGTCTTTGGAACATGGTACTTTTTTCCTATAGGTTTGCAGTACTGATTTAGTAGTAAAAGCGAAATGGGATTTGTTTCAATTACCACTGTTTTCATTTTGTTCTATAGGAATTTGATAAAGAAGTTAAAAGTTTTGTGTTTGTTCTGGAAGGCAGCAGCCAAACAAACAGAATTCAATTACCAAAGGAGAATAAACAAATCCGTAAGTAGCATTCTTAATATCAAACCTCAGCATTAAAGTTATGTTTTTGTGTCTCATAAACAGCCTTCTTAGTATGACTTCTACTGGCAATTGTTGGTAAAAAGCTACCTGATACATATTTTTTTTAATTTAGAAAGTAACTGTTTACTGAGCACTCTGTTAGGCTTTTTAAAAAATATATTCTGACTCACTGTCTAATAGACATATAGAAGTATTTTTATGATTCATAAGATTATTTAATGACTTAATCATAATGTATTTATTGAATATTAGCTGTGTGCTAGGGACTTTGTGAGGATTTTTGCATTTAACTTATTTCTTCTTTATAATTGCCCTTTTAAAGGATGAACAGACTAATGTTGATTCATCATCAAGAGATCAAGAAGTTAAGGCAAATTTTTGAAATAGACTTAGGAATGCCCAAAGTATAGCAAAATAATTTGTGATAGAAGCATTTATCATGAGGCTGGTGCTGTGGCACCACAGTTTAAAGCCCTGGCCTGCAGTGCTGGCATACCATGTGGGCACCAGTTTGAGTCCCCAGCTGCTCCACTTTCAATCCAGCTCCCTGCTAATGTGCCTGGGAAGGCAGTGGAAGATGGCCCAAGTCCTTGGGCCCCTGCACCTACATGGGAGACCTGAAAGAAGCTTCTGGCTCCTGGCTTTGGATCAGCCCATCTCCGGCCTTTGCAGCCATTTGAGGAATGAACTAGTGGATGGAAGACTCTTCTCTCTCTATTTGTGTCTTACAAATAAATAAATTTTTTTTAAATTTATCAGAAAATGTTACAAAAGGCATTGTTTGGTCATGGAATAACTCATATAACTTTAGTAACATTAATATTTAATAATTGTAGATAAGAATGTATGATTTGACAGAAGTCCAAAGAGATTTCATTTCTTAATTGCTTTGGAATTTAGGATAAGCATTTTGAAAGAGAAAAAACCTGAGAGATCATCTAAAATGTGTGATCAGAAACCCAGTTATTGGCAGAGTTGGGGTTAAAATTCAAGGCTCTTCCACCAGATTAAACCTTGATTAAACTTATGTGACTGAAGAAATATAATTTGTCAGAATGATTAGGTAGGTTTTCCGTCAGCTGTGTCCTGTGTTTTAAATATAGATTTCAGGTGATTTAGCAAATACACAGAAATACTGCCTTTTTCCAGTCTTCATTTACTTCTTTTTATTTCATTTGTTGCGAACGCTTATGGACTCTTCTGCTGTATACCAGACCCTGTGAAAAGACCAGTGTTAGTGCTTGAGCCTCTAATTCCTTTTTAATATTTATTAATTTATTTGAAAGGGAGAGTGACACAGAGAGACAGAGAGAGGGAGAGAGAGAGAGAGATCCCAATCCTCCATCCACTGGTTCACTCCACAAATGGCTGTAAGAGCCAATATCCTGGAACTTCATCTGGTCTCCCACATCGGTGGCAGGGCACCAAGTATTTGAACTGTCATCCACTGCTTTCCCAGACAAATTAGCAGAGAGCTGGATTGGAAGTGGAGTAGCTGGGATTTGACCTGGCACTTGCAGGAGGCACTGCACCACTACACCAGCTCCCTGCTCTTCTAATTTTAATTCAGTGTTCTAAACTTACATAGGCTCTGTGTTTTATGTAGCATTACAAGCTGCTTTATGAATATTTTAGGTTTCTAAGAAATAAACCAAGCCATAGAAGTTATAGATGGAAAATGAAGGATTTTAAAGTGTTTTGCCAGTGTTTCTTTCTAAAACAAAATAATAGAACCTCAAAGAGAAAAGACCATCATTGTTAAAGGGATTTTTATTAATTACCATTTTAAAATCATGGTTCCTAATTGTGTGTGTGTGTGTGTGAATAATAGTAGATCTCTTTGTATTTCCACATAAATGCATAATTATAAATGAGGTGAACTAAGATGAACCAGGGAAACTAGTCTGAAATTGTAGTTTGTTCTTTTTACAAGATGTACAGTCTGTGTTTTTAAGGATACTGATTTTATTTCCCTTTTTTTTTTTTTTTTTTACAGATAGAGTTAGACATAGAGAGAGACAGAGAGAAAGGTCTTCCTTTTTCAGTTGGTTCACCCCCAAATGGCTGCTATGGCTGGTGTGTTGCCGCCAGCGCGTGGCGCCAATCCAAAGCCAGGAGCCAGGTGCTTCCTCCTGGTCTCCCATGCGGGTACAGGGGCCCAGGAACTTGGGCCATCCTCTACTGCCTTCCCAGGCCACAGCAGAGAGCTGGAGTGGAAGAGGAGCAGCCGGGACTAGAACTTGGCACCCATATGGGATGCTGGCGCCGAGGCAGAGGATTAACCTAATGAGCCAGGATGCCGGCCCCAAGGACACTGATTTTGTGAGACAGGTACATTTGGTTTTTAGGAACATGACTTTGTTCTAAGCCACTGTCAGTTCTTTTGCTTTCTTCTTTTCTTGGGCATATAATGCTCACCTGTATACTCATTTAATGCCCTCAGCATCTGTGTACATGATCTAGTTATTAATAAAAGTCAGTCCCATCCAGTGACCTTTCTGTTTGGCTCTGAGAATGTTTCCTCTTCCACTGAAGGCTAGGTGACTACATACAAGCCCCACATCCCAAATAAGGATTTTATTTTATTTTTTTTTTTAGAAACAAACCAGGTATAATGTGTTTTAATTACCTTGCTAAGTGGAAAGATGATGGTTTTAATTTGAAGAAACAGAAGTCTTTTAATGTATTTCTTCTACAATATCATGTAATTAAAAATTAATCTGGCTTTTCTGTAGCACATACAGCACTATAATGATGAAATTTTACATATTGACTATGTTGCACTAATGCCTTCAAGATTAGTTATTTGGAATTTTTGATAAAAAATTTATAATTAATTAATTTTTACTTGTATAAAATGACCTGTGTGAAATTGGTATGGTTAAATTTAAATTAAATGGCTTGGCGTGAGTAAACAATTAACTTTCAATTAACATTTCTAAATTAAGTTCAATTACCATTATTTGTTCCTATTTTAAGAGTAAATATACACTTTATTTATGCAAACTTGACATTAGATTCCTCTTAAGTGTTTTCAGCTCCATTAGGCGCTTTAGGAAGAACATTTAATAATGAAATTCAATGTTTAACTTTTCATTTTGAATAGTAGTATTTCTGAATTATATTTGAGAGCTTCTAAATAAAATCAAAGTTTTATTCATTGAGCACCTATCACATAAAACAAGTGTGATATTGATGATCATACTATAGACTTCTCCAGAGCAAAGATCTTGAATCATCCTCTTTGTACACCTGCCTTAGTTTCTGGTGTGTCATGGGTGTTCAGTAAGCTTGGTAAATTTGCCCAATTATGAAACTATGAGGATTTGAGTTATAATTTTTAATTGTAATCAGCTGGACTTGATAATGATCATTGACTGTATCACTGACCAGTTAAACACATCATTCTCTGCTTCTCCTCTCTGGAGCTTGTTACATGGAGTTGCCCCTGTGAGAAGCAGCTGTGTCACATGTAAATGTCTGTCATTTACGGGGTCTTCTCCAAGACTTTCTGTCCGAGGCTCAGTTTCTCTGCTGTGGTATCCAAATCATAGGTGTGTCCTCTCCAAAGCCTTGTGTTGATCTTAACTTTCAGTTACTCTTAAGGGTGAGGTCCTCTTTATGAGGTTCCTCAAGTCTCCTCATGCCCCCACAGACTAAATCTCATCATGACCTCTTTTTAAAACCCATCAATGGGTTGGACCTTATCACTCTTGTTGAGTCACTATTGATCCCTGAATCCAGTGGCCTGTTTGTCACCCTCATCTTACTTCACGTATCAGCAGCATTTGAGAAAGCTAACACCTCTTTGGTATACTTTCTTTGCCCTTCTTCCAGGATGCCCCCATTGCTGGTTTTCTTCCTACCTCACTGCTCTTCTTTCAAAGTCCATTGGGTGGTTCATTCAAATCTAACTCCTCTCTCTACACCTAGAAACTCCGCTTCCCACAGGATGGCTCCATCAGTTGTTAGCAACTTGTCTTTTCAATTGCTCATACCAAACAATCTTAAATCAGCATTGATTTTTCTTTCTCTAGATTCAGTCGCTCGTGAAGATCTTGTTGACAATATTTTAAAATAGATTGAGAGTCTGACAACTGTTTGCCACTCCCTGTGCTATGACCCCGGTCATTTTCTCCTATCTCAGATATTGCAATAGTGTCCTAATTGCTCGCTTGCTCGATCTCTCTCTCTCATTTTTAATTTTTATTTATTTGATGGACTTGGTTTTGTGGTGCAGGCTGCCCTCTTCCCATCCAGTTCCTTGCTAATGGTCTGGGAAAAGCAGCAAAAGATGGCCCAAGTACCTGGGCCCCTCCCAACATGGATACCTGGAAGAAACTCCTGTCTCCTGGCTTTGGCTTGGCCCTGCTGTGACCATTGTGGCCATCTGGGGGAGTGAACCAGCAGATAGAAGATCTCTCTGTGTATCTCTCCCTCTGTCACATTAATTCTTTCAAATAAATAAATCTTTAAAAAAATAAATTTTCTTTTTTTTTTTTTTTTTCTTGACAGGCAGAGTGGAAAGTGAGAGAGAGAGACAGAGAGAAAGGTCTTCCTTTGCCATTGGTTCACCCTCCAGTGGCTGCCGCGGCCGGCGCGCTGTGCTGATCCGATGGCAGGAGCCAGGTACTTATCCTGGTGTCCCATGGGGTACAGGGCCCAAGCACTTGGGCCATCCTCCACTGCACTCCCTGGCCACAGCAGAGAGCTGGCCTGGAAGAGGGGCAACCGGGACAGAATCCGGTGCCCCGACCGGGACTAGAACCCGATGTGCCGGCGCCACAAGGCAGAGGATTAGCCTAGTGAGCTGCGGCACCAGCCCAATTTTATTTCTTGAAATACAGAGAGAGGGAGAGCTCCCATTTGCTAATTCACTCCCCAAATGCTGTCAACAGCCGGAGCTGAGCCAAGCCAAAGCCAGGAGCTGGGAACTTAATCCCCGTCTCCCACATAGGTGGCAGGGATCGAGTGCTTCC